TGCACACCTGGGTGCCACCAGGTGTAGTGTCAGGGTCGGCTGGGTGTGCACTGCCCCTGGAACTCATCCCATTTTCACCAGCTTCCTGCTGGGATGGTGCTGCATCTGGAGCCCGTCCTGGGCTCTCAGCCTATGAATGACCCTCCTGTGCTGCGAAATGCCGAGCTGTCTGCAGAGCAGCCTCTGCCACACACAGACCTAAAACATCTGGTGAGTGACTCACTGGCCCCAGCCCCGACCCTGTGTCTCGGGACAGCCTCATCCCACGTGTTCCAGCCCCGCTCCTCTGAGTGAGCGGGACTGAGGTTATCCAGACGCAGCCTCAGCAAAAAAGTCTTGGGTGTCCCAGCTTGGTGTTGTGGTGCTGGTTTTCTCTTGGGACTGACTCACTGCTCGGCCTCCAAAACCCCTTCCTGCTCCTCCAGACCCTTTGTTTTTGCCACTGTGACATTCCTGGCACTCGTTTGAGGAGCCAGAGCTGTTTTCCATCTGTCTGAGGATCCTGCAGGGCAGTAGCTGCACCCATTGAGGTGATGCAGTTACCACCATGTGAATCCAGCTGATGTTTCCAAAGGGCTCCAAGAGGGATGATCAGGATAGAACAGGTTGCCCAAAATAACTGTAGCTGCCCCATCCCTGGAAGTGTCCAAGGCCAGGTTGGATGGGGCCTGGAGCAGCCTGGGATAGTGGAAGGTGTCCCTGTCTATGGCAGGGGGTGGAACGAGATGAGCTTTAAGCTCCTTCCAACCCAAACCATTCTGGGATTCAATGATCTTGGCAGGTTTGGGGGATGGAAATTGGCACATAGCCAAGGTGGGATTTACCCTCCATCCTCTTGTCTTGTGCTGAACCCATCCTGAAGATGCTGGGTGGAAATACAGGAGAGCCTCCTGGGCATCACATGTTTGATTCCTACATCCTTAGCAGCTGGAAATTGGTGCTGTGCAGCATGGGAAGGGGAAACATCCACACAAGCCTCTCTGGGATGCCCAGAGCTCACCCACATGCTGTGGACACCTTGTTGGGAGGTTCTGGATTTGCCCCAGCACATCCATGCATCCTCTCCAGCTCTCCCTCCTCTCCTTGATCGAATGCTGGCTGAGCATGAAATTAAACTTGCAAATTGCAGCCCTTTCTGTATTTTTTCGGGTCATTATTATGCACATTTCTTATGCACATACCTTGGGTACTGCAGGGTTTGAGGAAGGAAAATCAGCCAAAAATAATCATTTGGAATGGAGAACATCTACTATTTCAGTTCCTCCCCGGAAGCCCTTTCATTGTTAATTATGAGCAGACTTGCAAGCAGCACATATTTTAATTTTTAGCATGTTTTGATGTTAAAAATCTGCCTTTGTTTCCAAGATCCTTGGTTTTTCCTGGGTTTCTATTTAACACCGAGAAAGCTCCAGGTGCTCAGATGCTCACTTTGTACCTTCAAAGACCAACAGAAGCAGAGAGGCACTTGTGGCTAAGATATCAAAGCTGTGATGCTGCTTTTATCGTGTGAACTGTTGGGAGAAGGGACAAAGTGATGACGCTGTGATGGTGTGAAGCCCTGCCCTGAGCAGTGCTGGGACTTGGTGTCTTTTTGGGGGGAGTCTTTGTGAGATTCTTGGATTCCACTGTATTTTTGGGGGGCTGAGCTTTGATGCTGGAGATGCCCGTGGAGCGATTGCACCTGGGAGAGGGAATTGTCTGGTGCAGAAAGTCCCTGCAACCCGCCCCTGTCTCCCTGCTGCAGCACTGGGGGATGATGGCTGCATCTTCTCCACCAGCCTCTAAAAAAGAACAGGGACAATGTGCCAGCAGGGATTCCAACTGTGTCCCAGGCTGCATCCCCCCAGTGTGGGCAGCAGGGGGGAAATTCTGCCCTGCTCAGGTGAGACCTGCAGAGCTGCTTCCAGCAGCAGAAGGAGGTGGAGCTGCTGGAGCGAGCCCGGAGGAGGCCACGGAGCTGCTCCGAGGGCTGGAGCCCCTCTGCTCTGGAGCCAGGCTGGGAGAGCTGGGGGTGTTCACCTGGAGAAGAGAAGCTCCAGGGAGACCTTAGAGCCCCTTCCAGTGCCTAAAGGGGCTCCAAAAGAGCTGGAGAGGGACTTGGGACAAGGGCCTGGAGGGACAGGCCAAGGGGGAATGGCTTCCCACTGCCAGAGGACAGGGTTAGGTGGGATATTGGGAAGGAATCCTTCCCTGTGAGGGTGGGGAGGCCCTGGCACAGGTTGGCCAGAGCAGCTGTGGCTGCCCCATCCCTGGAGGTGTCCAAGGCCAGGTTGGACAGGGCTTGGAGCAACCTGGGATAGTGGAAGACGCCCCTACTTATAGCAGGGGATAAAATGGGATGATCTTTAAGGTCCCTTCCCACCCAATCCATTCCATGATTCTGTGACATGGCTCCTCAGCCGGAGCTGGCACAGGATGGGATCATGGAGCCGCTCTGCACACCCAGCACTGCCCATTGCAGGCTGGGCATGGAAAGAGAAATCTGCTTGATTTGCAGGGCACATCTGTGAATCGAGAGCAGGGCTCCCCATTTAGTCACAGCCTTCTGAAGCACATTGGCCTCATCCTTTCCCGTTCCTGCTGCTCTCCCCCGTTGGTGCCGGGGTCAAGCCGTGCAGCTTTTTACCAGCTCCAGCACTGCAAAATCCTTCCTTGCCTGCAAGGGGGTAAAAGAAATGAAATGGTTTTAAATATAGCATGTCTTGGGTTATTTTTACTCGCCTTTTAATTTTAAGCTCTCCAGGTTTGGTTGTTCCAGCTTTCCTCTGTAATCAAAAGGGTGAGGAGCTTCCTTTGCTCTGCAGCAATGAAAGACCCAAACCTCCCACACAGGCACCTGGCTCTGGAGCACAGACTGCAGCTGATGGAGCCCCGGGAATCCACTGGATCCTTGGAGAAACAGTAAGAGCTGCTGGTGTTGAGAAAATCATGTTAAAACCCAGAAACTGCATCCTTTGGGGAAACATCTGTCGTGTGTATGCTGCTGAAAAATCACCCGGCTCCCTCCCAGTGCCCTGCTCTTCCTCCTCCTCCTCTTCTTCCTTCCCTGCCGTGCTCTCTTCCCAGTCTCCGTGCGGATGCATCCCTCCATGCGTGTTGGGAGCAGTGCTGGGTGTCCCGAGGCCCTATAAAAGGAGACATTGTGTGTGGGGGAGCGTGGGAGGAGGCTCAGCACTGCAGCTCTGCCCTGGCCAAAAGCAACCCTCTGGGCTGTGGGAGCGATGGTGGGGACCCCCAGAGCCCAGCTGGGCTGCACCCCCCGAAAAGCAAACCCCAAAAGGTGGTGAGAGGGGTTTTCCAAGGAAACCGTGCTCCCTTTGGGTGGTTGATGCAGGAGGGAGGCTGCCCCGATGCTTGTGTGACTGAGGTCTTGCTGTTCTAGATGGGGGACTCTCATGGGTGTCTCTTTCCAGTGCCACGGCTCCCAAATATTTGCGGGTTCCCCCTCTTGACCCAGGCAGCACTTTCTGCCCAGCACAGCGTGGGGTTGCTGGTGCCTCTGGGCAGCTGGTGTGGGTAAATCATTAGCCAGGTTTTTCCTGGGAAGCAGCCTGGTCTCTGCAGGGCAAACTCAAGCTGCCTTTTGTTCCTGGCTCTGTGCACCCCATCCCGAATTTGAGGTCTCCAAAATCCCTGGTTCACGCACCCCAGTCCCCTGGGTCTGCATCTCCCAGCTCTGAGGGTTGGCTCCATGCATCCTGTTCTCCCAGCCCTGTGCACCCCCACATTCCCTACGTCTGTGTACCCCAATCCTCTGCACTGGTGTGTCCTGGACCCCCAACTCTGTGTATCCCAACATTCCCATCTTCCTGTGCTCTGGTCTCCTGGCTCCATGCACCCCTGTGCCCTGGGTTATGTGTACCCCAGTTCCATGCACCCCAATGCCCAGGCCATGTGTATCCCAATCCCCTGGCTCTATAAGCTCTGCTTCCCCAACTCTGTGCACCCCAATACCCAGGCCCAGCATGTACCCCAGTCCCTTGGCTGAATGCACCCCAATGCCCTGTCTCAGCGTACCCCAAATCACCTGGCTCAGTATACCCCAACCCCTCCAGCTCTGCACCCCAATCCCCCAGCACCAGACACCCCAATCCCCTGGTTGAACATATCCCAACCCTCCCGGCTCTGTGCATTCCAGTTCCCCAGCCCTGTGCACCCCAATCCCCCTGGCTTGCTGCCCCCAACCCTCCCAGCTAGTGCACCCCAATCCCCCAGCGCCAGACACCCTAATCCATAATCTCTGGCTCTGTGCACCCCATTCCGCTAGTATGGTGTTCCCCAACTCTCCCAGCTCCGTGCACCTCAACCCCTGGCCCCATGCACCCCAATCCCTCTGGTTCAGTGCTCCCCAAACCCCCATGCCTGCGCACCCCAATCCCGCAGCCCCGTGCATCCCAATCCCCTGGCTGAACGCACCCCGCTCTCTCGGCCCTGTGCACCCCAATCCCCAAGCTCCAGGTTCCCCAGTCCCCCAGCCCCGTGCTCGCCAACCTCCCAGCTCCTCAATCCTCCAGCTCCAGGCTCCTCAATCGCCCTGGCTCCGTGCTCCCCAATCCCCCAGCCCCGCTCTCCCCGATCCTCCAGTCCTGCTCTCCCCAATCCCTCAATTCCAGGCTCCCCAGTCCCCCAGTTCTGTGCACCCCAGTCCTCCAGCCCCGCTCTCCCCGATCCCTCAGTTCCAGGCTCCCCGCTCCCCAGCCCCGCTCTCCCCGATCCCTCAGTTCCAGGCTCCCCGCTCCCCAGCCCCGCTCTCCCCGATCCCTCAGTTCCAGGCTCCCCGCTCCCCAGCCCCGCTCTCCCCGATCCCTCAGTTCCAGGCTCCCCGCTCCCCAGCCCCGCTCTCCCCGATCCCTCAGTTCCAGGCTCCCCGCTCCCCAGCCCCGCTCTCCCCGATCCCTCAGTTCCAGGCTCCCCGCTCCCCAGCCCCGCTCTCCCCAGTGTCCCGCTCCAGGCTCCTCCCGCGCCGTTCCCGGCAGGAAGCAGCCGCAGCCAATCGGGCCGGGGCCGCCGCCCGGACCCCGCGCTGCCGCCGCCGCTGCCCGGTAAGTGCGGGGGGGCCCGCCCGGCTCGGGGGCGGCGCTGGGACCGCACCGGGGCCGGGGGGCTCGGGGGGTGCCGGGGGTCCGGCCGGGAGCGGGGCAGCCCCGCGGGAGGAGCCGCCGCCGCCCCCGCTGCCCCTCCCGCGGGCCGGGGCGCGGGACCCGGGCGGTGTTCCGGGAGGGCGGAATGAATGGGGCTCCCCCCGAGCCGAGCCCCGCCGGGGGGACACGGCGCAGCCGGGGCTGGGGGGCTCGGGGAGCCCCGGCGGATGTTGGGGGGGGGGTGTCGGGGTCCCCCCGTCTCGGTGCGGGCAGTCCCGGGGGGCAGGCGGTGGCCCCGTCGCTTCCCATGGCGGGTATGGATTCAGGGAAGGCGGCATCCCGGCATGCTTAGAAACCCGATTTAAACCGCCCTATTTTGTGTATTGGGCTGAACACACCCCACGCGTGGGACAAAATCCCGAGGGGAAGCGGTTGTTCCCCTTTTCCCTGGGCTGAGACAAGAGATACCCCCCTCCTTCCTGTCACCAAGTATCACCCCGAATTTATATTCTTTCCTCCTGCCAAATGTCACCCCAAGTCCTTGTCCCTTCCTCCTGCCAAGTATTGTATCCCAAATCCTTGTCGCTTCCTGCCACCAAGTATCACCCTGAATCCTTATCCCTTCCTCCTGCCAAGTATTGTACCCCAAATCCTTGTCCCTTCCTACCACCAAGTATTGCATCCCAAACTTCTTCCTGCCAAGTATCACCCTGAATCCTTGTCACTTCCAGACACCAAATATCACCCCGAATCCTTATTCCATCCTCCCACCAAGCATCACCCCAAATCCTCATCCCTTCTTGCCACCAAGTGTCACCCTCAACCCTCATCCCTTTTTCCTGCATTCGCACCCCAAATCCTTGTCCCTCCCTAACTCCAAACATCACGCCCTGAATCCGCACCTGGAATTTGAGGGTTGCACCCCATCCTTCCACCCCTGCTTTGCCGTGTCCCCCATCCCGCAGAGTCCCGAGTGAGGAGCTGCTGCTCTGCACCCAGAAATTGAGCAGCAACTAAAAATAGTCTAGAGCAGAGCTGAGCTCTTGGCTGGCACAAACCCCAGGCACGAGAGGAGCAGAGTGAGGGGCTCAGCCCAGGCACCCCCAAAAGTTGGGATTGAGCTGGACTGGGAGGTGAGGACATATCCCTGGATCTGTAGATGTTTTCTTCACACCTCAGCTGATAATGTGGGTATTATAAAAAAGCTCTGTGATAGTAAATAAAAAATAGGGAAGGGATGAGGTATGATTCCTGGGGGGATTTAGTTATTCCTTGGGTTTCTGGAGGATCCAGCCATCCTGGCTTGCCTTCACAAGGGCATTCCTCTTCCAAGGAATGTGTTTGTGGAGTTCCTTACATCCCAATTTATGACAGAAACTCAGGTCTGGGACAGAGCCCATTCTTTGTCCCGGGATGACAGCACAGGAATGGGGAAACTGAGTCATGGAAAGGAAAGACTCCCAGCTGCAGAAGGAGGACTGGGGACATGGGTGTCCCCTTCCCATGACACCTCTGAGCGGGTCTGGCAGGACTTGTAGGTCACGAAACCCGTAAAATATAATTTATTTTAGCATCACCAGGAAAAGGGAAGAACTCCAAGGGAGATGAGTCATGGTTTCCCTCGTCTGGGCAGCTGAGTGATGCCCCATCACCCTCTCCTGCCACAGCTCCCTCCCTTCCCGGCTGCCTGGCATTGAGCACAAGGCTGGCTCTGGGCTTGTGCACTTGGGAAAAGGCAAGAGTCAGGTTTAAGAAAAAAGCTGGATAATTTGTTTTCTCCAAAGAGCCTCGTGCGTGGGACGGAAGGAGAGGGGATTTTGCCCCTCAGAGATCTTGGGGCAAAACTGTACCTCAGCTACCCCCTGTTCCCTGTGCCTCAGTTTTTCCCCGTGCCTCAGTTTCCCCCGTGGGGGCTGAGCTGACCAAAGCTTCGGGGCTGCCTTTCCCTGATTGAGAGGAATTAAAGGAATAAGGTGCCAATGGCCCACGTTGTTCCCACTACCCCCAGGAAACTGGTGCCACGACACTGATTTATTTCAAACTTGGCTGTGTCGGTGCTAAAGGCTCCGGGCAGAGCAAGGGAGCTCTGGGATGTGCTGGGACAGGGATGGGACATGACAGCAGCGCTGCTGGCTGCGATGTCTGGGGCTCATTTCTGCTGTGAGGGAGGAACGTGGGTCACGAGCTCTTGGCAGGGCTGGGAGGGATGCTCAGGAATCCGGCCAGAGTAGCCAGCGGTGCCGGGCAGCTTGCCCTCACCTCTCCCCACATCCAGCTCTGAGACGCTCTGGCTCTATTCCCCACTTTTCGGGACAACCTCATGCCGGAGATTTTTCTGCCTTGAACAGGGATGAACCTCCCAGCCCTCCAGCTGCTGGCGGAGCCAGGAATCTGCAAACCTCTCCCGTTTAGCTTCTTCTGTTTAGTTTTTAGCAATTTTGGACACTGGGAGCGAGTTGCCTCCTCTTGGAGGACAGGGATGTAACAGCCCAATGCTGCTGCGGGGAAAAGCTGGGAAAGAGAGAAACAAAGGGGAGGAGAAGCAGGGAGGAAGGGAAGAGGCTCACGTGGCTTCCCCAGGGCACCGGCCAACGCCTCCAGCACAAGAGCTGCCTCCGGCTCCATCGGCTCCCCGATGCTGGGGATGCAGCAATTCTTTGGCTGGTGCCAGGCTGGAGGTGAACCCCCTCCCAGGTTTTGTGACGGGGTGGGTGCTCTGTGGGAATGGCTGGTGTGGGATCCCCGGCCTGATGCCGGTTCCTCCCTTCTCTTGCTCTTTGTCCCTGGTTCCCAGCACCATCTCAGTGTTTCCTTCTGTTTTTCTTCAGCTCACAGCTCTTGTTCCAGGAGAGAAGGCTCCCTGTGAGGACTCCCCGGGCTGTGCTTGCTCCTGCTTTCTTATCCAGACTTTGCTTCTGCCAAGGATGTTCTTCCTGCTGCTTGTCCTGGGAGTGCTGGCAGGTGAGTAGGGCTGAGGGGGGGTCAGCGTGTCACCACCCCAAAGGACATGTCCTGAGTGCCATGTTTGTCCCAACAAAGCTGCCTTTGCCCTGTGGTTCCTGGTATCAGCTCCCTCAAGGCGTTTTGTGGTCCTCTGGCTGCCCAGGGCATCACCCTGGCTATGGCTTGTGGTGGTACTTCGTAGCAGGGGACACCTCCTTCCACGTGCTACAGCTGAATGGCAAAGCCAGGGGGAGGAATAAATCCTGAAGGTTTCGACTTACCTGGGAGAGATGTCAGGACTGAATCCTTTTGGATTCCACAGCCAGCAGCAATCCTGGCCAGGCTGGTTCCTAAAACCCCCGGCATTTATTATTAGCTGTAGGGAGACGTGACACTCTGGAGTCTCCCTGGAGCCAGGCAGGCTGCCCAGTGCTCTTGTCCTGCCTGTCTGTCCATCTGCAGCCCTTGGCAGGGCTCCTCCTGCCTGGCTCCTTCCTGCATCTCCTCCTCCTTCCCCACAGCTCCTCATCCTCCCCATGCAGTCTCTTGCCTCAAATTTAATGTCTCATTGCTGCCCTCGTCCCATGGGAGGTATTTGTGGGAAGGGCTTTGCTGTGTTCTGCACCGGTGCTGAGCTTGAAATATAAAGTAAATCCACGGTCTGAGGTGAGATTTCCCCCCTTTTCCTCCCTGTTTTGGGATTGGGGTCTGCTTTGGGGGACATTGGTGCCAACAGGCACCCCAGGACCACCTTCAGGTCCAGCAGCCCTGGCACAGCTGGTATTGCTCTGTGGTAGGGTTGGCATTGTGCCATGGGACTGGGACATGGCTGGCATCGTGCTGGAGCACTGGGATGAGGTTGGCACCATGCCATGGCACACTGGTTGGCATCTTGCCGTGGCACTGGGATGAGGTTGGCACCATGCCATGGCACACCGGTTGGCATCGTGCTGGAGCACTGGTGCCATCTAGTGCCTGCCAGCCTGGCTAGAGCTGGCTCATCGTGGGGACACGGGACTGTGTCCCCACTGCTGTCACCCTCTGACCTCCCCTCCCCATGGGGACAATCCAGGCTATGTGTCCTGGGGGGTGCAGGTTTCAGTGCCTGTGGCTGTGTCTGGCATCTGAAGGCACTGGCGCCCCTGGTGTGGTGCTGGATGTGGGGTTGTCTCCCTCCTGGCAGGGTGGGCTTGGCTTGCAACAGTCCTGAGATGCCACCTGCCCACGGGTCCCTCCCATGGGCATCCCTCCATTTGCTTAGATGTTACCCAGGTGGAAGCTTAAGGAGGTGCTTCTGCAGGTCCCACCACCCCGTGCTTTTGCCCTTGTCACCCTCCTGTAGGTGCCATGGAGATCCAGGTCCCGGATGAGCCTGTGGTGGCTCTTTTTGGCCAGGACGCCACCCTGCGCTGCTCCTTCTCCCCCGAGGCCAACTTCAGCCTGGACGACCTGAGCCTCATCTGGCAGCTGACAGACACCAAGCGCTTGGTCCACAGGTTCTCCGGTGGCCGGGACCAGCTGGAAGACCAGGGCAGGGTCTACACCAACCGTACGTCCCTCTTCTATGACCAGCTGCCCCAGGGCAACGTGTCCCTGCTGCTGCGGCGCGTGGAGATCGCGGACGAGGGCAGCTTCACCTGCTTCGTGCGCGTCCGCGACTACAACAGCGCCGCGGTGACGCTGCAGGTGGCAGGTGAGGCAGGGGGAGCTGGGCTGTCCCCGTGTGTCTCCCCAGCGGGAAGGGGTCTCCATCATGCTTTGTGGAGCCCCTCTCTCCACCCTTGCTGTGGTTTCCCCGTGAATTCAGGTCTCTGTTAGAGACCAGCCAGCTGCACCTCTCCAAAATATTGCTGTGGGGGTTACAGTCCCTTCCCTGCCGTCATGGAGAAGCTGCCAGTTAAGTGAACACTTGGAAGCACGGCCATAAATGATCCAAAGTCGGGGAGCCTTCAGCTGATTGGTCTTATCAGCTGGAAGAATCTGTCCTGGGGCTTGCTCAACCTCATTGGGTTGCTCCCAATCCTGATCCTTTGGTTGTCTCCATCACATCATGCTGGTTTGTCCTTTCCCTTGCAGCTCCCTACTCCAAGCCCAGTGTGCACCTGGAGCCCAGCAAGGACTTGAAGCCAGGTGACCTGGCCTTCGTGACGTGCCACGCTTCCCGCGGCTACCCCGAGGCCAGCGTGCTCTGGCAGGACAGCCGGGGCAGCAACATCACGGAGAACATCACCACCTCCCAGGTGGCCAACGAGGAAGGTCTCTTTGATGTGCACAGTGTCCTCCAGGTGCTGGTGGAGCCCAGCATCACCTACTCCTGCCTGGTGCAGAACCTGGTGCTGCAGCAGCACGGCCACGCGTCCGTCACCATCACGGGTGGGTGAGCCACCAAATCTGGGGGAAGGAAGGGCTGGGCTCTGTCTGCAGAAGGTGACCGTGGTGGCACTGGGATCTGGGATCCCTACTGTGGCCCAAAGCCACCCTGGGTGTTGCTACGCTATGTCCCTGCTCTACCAACCTCCCCCATGGACCTACAAGGGTGACTCGAGGCTGTGCTCTCTCCCCTGTCACCCCACACCAGCATCCCAGTAAGAACCAGTGTCCTTAGTTCTTAGTCTCCAGCTTTGCTCCTTGCCCTGTGCCAATCCATCAGCAGGTGTCTTCTCCTTAGCCCGTTGCCATGGGGTGCTCTAAATTTGGGGATCTCTATCCCAGCTGCACCAATCCTACTTCTGGAATACAGGCTGGAGGAATCCATCAAGCACGTTCAGCATCACTGCTTTACTCTGAGCTCTGCCTGCTGCCCTCCCAAAGCTCCTTATAACCTCTTGCCCTCCCCAGTAGCATTAATTAGTGTTTAATTACTCTTGGTATGGTATTTGCTGGTTAGGAAGGTGGATCCTTGGTGGAGCATAAACTTTCTAGCTGGATGCACCAAACTCTTGCAGGAAAACCTGCATGGATGCTGCTGGTTGGGGACAGGGGGGTGGCTTTTGGATGGGCTCCTGAGCATGCAAAAAAAAGGTCAACCTTGGGGTGACATCTGTGAAGGGGCAGGGCTTGGGACAAGACTGTATTTGAAGAAGGAGCAGTAATATGGGGAAAATTAGATTCCCAGCACTCCAGGAGATATCCCCTGAGCCCTGGTGGTCCCTGCTATGTTGTTCCAGTTCCTGAAGGAACCCCCAAAAATATGGAGAGGGACTTTGGACAAGGGCCAGGAGTGACAGGACAAGGGGCAATGTATTGAGACTGCCAGAGGGCAAGGTTAGATGGGATATTGGGAAGGAATTCTTCCCTGTGAGGATGATAAGGCCCTGTCCCAGGTTGGCCAGAGAAGCTGTTGGCTGCCCCATCCCTGGAAATGTTCAAGGCCAGGTTGAACAGAGCTTGGAGCAACCTGGTCTAGTGGAAGGTGTCCATGCCCGTGGCAAGGGGTGGAATGAGGTGAGCTTTAATGTCCCTTCCAACCCAGGCCATTCTATGATTCTAGACCCTGGGGAATGTATTCCCATGCTTTGTGCCCCCCTGGCATGAGATGACAGGGGAAAGGGAGCAGGTGCAGGATCACCTGATGCTTCTCCTGAGCTTCTTAGCAAGGGAAGGGTCAGCCTGCAGTCGAATTTATGAGTGGAATTATATAAAGATTTAATGAAGTATTTTAGGGAGTGACTCAACCTGCTGCTTCCCTGCCGGATCCAGGCCTGCAGGGGGAGGCCATAATTCTGTGCACCGATGATTTGCCTTCCAAAGCCACCCTTGTGCCACCAACTCCCTCCACGGGGACGTGCCCCCGGCACCGCGGGGTCCTGGTGTGGGGCACACGTTCCCTGGTCGGGCAGTGGTGCTCACCCAGGTGTTGTGTGTCCCCTCCCCTGCAAGGCCAGCACCTCGCCTTCCCCGCCGCCGCGCTCTGGGTCACGGTGGGACTCGCCATCTGCGTCCTGGGGCTGCTCGTCGTCCTGGCCTACGTGTGCCACAAGAAAATCCGGGAGAGCTGCGAGGAAGAGGAGGAAAACGCAGGTACTGGGGCAGCTCCTTCCCCCAGAAAGGGGGAATGGTTTGCCGAGGGTGATGGAATGGGAGGAGCTGAGACAAGTGTTGACCAGCACAGGTTTGCCTTGGTGGTGGTGTCTTTTAAGGGATGAAGGGATGCTGGCACCAACAGATCTGGGCCACAGAGCCCATGCTGGCTGCAGACAGCTCTTTCAAACATACACCTGGTTTTCCTCCCACCCAGCCTGTCTCCCCCTTTTCCTGCTCTGAGCATCCTCTGTGTGTCTGATACCCACAGCCAGGAGCATATCCTCCAGGGAGGTGCCTCTAGCACTTAGCACCGTAGAAATAGCATAAGAGAGATGCTCTGTGCTCTTGTTTCCTGCATCCTCCTCCTGTTTGGGTTGGTTTTTTTATTTATGGAGACGTGTTTGCACAAAAAGGGGGGGGTTGTTGCTTTAAAAAGCTGCCGTGCTCCGAAAATGGCCGAGGAAGCAGCTTTGCTGGCGTTCTTGGTTGTTTTCTCTCACTGCCTCCCAAGGCATTCGCTCTGCCAAAGCCTTTCCCTGCCGACATCGCTCTGCGGGGCCGGGACCCGCAGTCTCCCTCCCCGGGGGCTCCTGCTTCACTCCTCTCCCTGCCAGGAAGGACCTTGGAAGCAATGCCACCATGATCCCTGGCTGTCCGTGTCCCCAGCAGTGGGGACAGAGGGGGTTTTTTCTCTAGGAAAACATCTGCAGAAGTTACAGATGTATTTTTTTTATATATATATATGTAATATTTTTCCCTCTGTACAGAGTATTTTCTCCTCAGCCAGGGGATTTTCAGGGCCGTGACGCTCAGCTGTGGCCTGGGGCCAGCTGACCTCAGTCCTTTAGCATCAAGACACAGCTCCCACCCCGTGATGTTTTCCACTGATGGCTGCACACCCACCCTCAGGAATAACCTTTTGCCGTGGCTCTTGCTCAGCCAGAAGCCAGGCAGGGACCCTTCCTGCCTCCTGTGGCTGCCAGGCTCGTGGGAACAGTGATTTTTGCTGGGCTTTCCTGCTGGGAACGGCAGCGTGGCAGGACTTGCCCGTGGGGTGTAAAAGCTCCCAGGCTCCAAGGGTGGCAGCCTGGTGGGTGCTGTAGGAGGGGGATGCTCATCCCTCGGTAGTGGGGTATCCTGGAGGTGCCGGGGGATCCGTGGTGTCCCGCTAAGCCCCTCACCAAGCGTTGCTCCAGATGGCAGCCGTGCTATAAATAGGGATGCGACGGCTGCGCTGCGTCGCCTGGAGCTGTGCCTTTTCCTGCTTCGCTTGTAGGGAATGTGCCACGCTGGCACAGCGTGTGCTGGGGGAATACCCCCATGGGGTGCTGGTGCAGGTGGGTGCCAGTCACCTCCCTGAGCACCCCCAGCAGCTCAGCAGCACCTGATCCCGAGCAAACCCCGGGATACGCGGTGATTGCGGGTTGCTCCAAGCAGCCGGCGATCCAAGGGGCATCCCCAAAATCCAGGGAGGTGGGGTTCAGGGTGGGCACTGGCACGTTTCCCACACTCTGTCTTGCTCTTTTGCAGGGACGGAGGAGCAGGATGAGGAGGGGGAAGAACCCAAGACAGGTGGGTGCATGGTCCCGTGTAATAAACCTGAGGGTTTGTTATATAGGGAGTGCATTTTACTACCCCTCCATCGGTGCTCAGCCCCCCACGCTCCCCCTTTCTCCGGCACATCCCTCACCTGGCAGCTTCCTGATAAGCCAGTCTATCCCATGATAAAAAAGGCATCAAACAGTTTAATTATATGCCCAGTGATTGCCTTTATCTGCTGGCACAGGAGCAACCCCGCTTGGGATGCTGTCTCTGCTGCTGGGGAGATTTAGGGACCGGGGGTTGGTTTGTGCTGGAAATTGGTGTAATTATTGGGGTGGGTTCCCTAAAGTGGGGTTTTTACTTATTTCCTCTGGGGAGGTGTTTCCTTGCAGGGGGGAAGGACTGACCCACGTGCTGTTTTGCTTTTCACAGCTCTGCAGCTACTGAAAAGCGCGGAGAGCAAAGAGGGTGAGTGAATTTGGCAGGACTATGAGCTGGCCCCTGGTGAAGGTTTCACCCTAAGCATCATCTTCAGGTGATGCTCAGATCTATGTGGAAAGCATCTATTGGATTTTGGTGGTTTTTTTTCCTCTGTATTTTCAATTTTCGTCTTTTTCCACCCCAGTTCTCAATCAGATTTTCCCAGATCAGTGATTTCCCAGCACCCATTCCCACCCCAGTTTGGCCTGTGCTTGCTCTGGGTGCCGCTCATGTCTCCCAGCAGCAATGGAGTGAGGCAGCCAGTGGCTTCCACAGGATGTTTTTTCTCTTACCCTTCCTTTTTTTGGGCACCTTGGGATCAGGAAGACCCGCCTGCCACCAGCTCTGGACACTGTGAGGAATTTGGGGTTTTTTTGAGTGTTGCCGTCGGTTTGCTGAGAGGAGAGGAATTGCTGGGGTTGGTCCTGCCCTTGCAGAGAGCTCCATCCCTTCCCATGCAGAATTCCCCAGCAGCAGACTGGTGCTGAATTTCAGGTGGAAATCCATGGAAATTGGTGTCTCATTTCTGCCTTTCTCTATCTTCTCCCAGCCTCCTGGCTTGGTGCTGCCAGCAGCCCATCACCCCTCCCAAGCCCAGTGTTGGGCTCCAGCGCTCTCTGTGCCTGGTCAGTCCTGCTCCTCCCCGACTCATTCCCATCCCCAGATCTCAATCTTTTAATTTATTTCCTTTCTTATTAAATCAGAGGCTTGGCCTCTGCTTCTGGTGAATCACTGCTAATTTAACCCTTCCTTCCTCTTTCATTCATCTGTGCTCCGCTTCCTGGCCTCTTGGCTTGTCATTCCCAGTGCGTCCTGTTTGCTTAACCCCATGTCCCAGACGTCTCCCACTGGCTCCTCGACCACTTTTGCAGCAGAAACGAAGCTTGGATAATAACACCTCCCAGGATTTTTTGGCTGCAGGGGCATTTCTAGCCAGGAGGATGAATGAAGGGATAAAAACACACCTAAATGTGCCTGGTAGTATTTGCCTGAGGCTGACATCACCCTTGGGAGTGGGGATCCCAGTTTTCCTGGGTGAGGAGAGCCCAGAGCTGCTGCAACCAAGTGAACTTATTAAGTTAGACCTGTGAGTTATTCTTTTTTTAATATATTTGTCAGTTATTTATTTAGTCTTTTTTTTTTTTCTTCCCAGATAACGAGCAAGAAATTGATTGACAGGGCAGTGCCCTGTGCCCTGGACCAGCTGAGATGTCCCCAGTGGGGACGAGGTCCGGGTCCCCTGGGAGGACACGGACCTGCTGCCACCCCTCATCCCGGGTCCCATCACCTTCCTCCCTCCCTGGCCATGTCTTTGGGGTGCCCTGGGGCTGCAAAGAGGCTGCATCTCTTCATCCCTGGCAAGCTCTGAAGGCTGGTGTGTCCCTCCCAGGGATGGCGTGTGTGGGATGGAGGATCTTCCCTGTCCATCCCCACGTGGGGCTGAGAACAACCGGCGTCACCCCTTCCCCCAGGCACCCCCTGCGCCTCCTCCCTCGTGGCCACAGCTGAGCCAGCCACCTTCCAGGTGCCTTCCAGGGCACATTTAACTGCCCTTCCCAAGCCCAGAGGCCTTGAGAGCGGTGATGGGCTCAGCAAGGTCCCTGGGAATGACTGCTGGAGCCCTGGAGGCTCCGGGAAGATGGGTGGGACCCAGGGGTCCCCAGGCACGGTGCTCTTGGCTCCCCTGGAGGCACCACTCCAGGGGCGTGTGGGGATAATTATTTTTTCACTTTGCGACACTGTGGTTCCCACTGGACTTATATTTTTGCCTTAAATGCAAAATCCCATTGGGGTGGTAATCTCCTGCCTAGGACTTGGGTTTTTTTGGGAAGGGCAGGCCTTGGGGGGCACCTGCTGGCCAGGTGAGGCCCTGCTGTCCACCCCGTGGTGACAGAGCTGATGCTTTGGGGGCTGAAGCACTGGTTGGGCCAAACCTGGCCAGTGTGTGGGGTTGAGCACCCGTTTTTCCCATGGGATCATGGGGTTTTGCCCTCATGCATGTCCTGGGGGTCCTCCTGTTGCTGCTGGGGGCGTGGGGGCACCCAAACTGCCGGGGTGAACGAGGTGGCGCGTCCCTGGTCCTGCTCCAGGGGTGGAGAAGTCCTCGATGGCTCTTCTGCTGGTTTTAGTCATTATTTAAAGTCCAGAATCTGAAGGGATTATTGTGCCTTGACAAATAAATTTGGGGTTGTTTTGGCCAATGCTTTCCGGGCTCATTGTGGTCTCTGGGATGCAGCTTTGGACATAAATAGTCTGAAGATTGGAATTCCCAGAGCAAAACCTTCATGTTCCCCTTTTAACCCCACCTGAGCTGCCCTCATCCATCCCCCAGCACGGGGAGCAAACGGCCGATGCCTGCCCTCATCCCTCTGCTTTATTCTCATCCCTCAAGCAGTGGAATAAAGAGGAAAATCCCGAAGGGATGCTGTCATCTTTCCGAGATGGCTCCAGAATTCAGGCTGGTTAATCCCAGTGCTGGGATGCAAGAGGGTTCTGACAGGGCCTGGTGAGGAAGGGACCTCCCTAAATCACCTGTGAGGGACTATTTTTAGTTGTCCTTCCCCGTCATGAAGCCAAGCTCTGCATTCCAATAGGAAAATATTCCTAAAGGCGAGACGAGGGAACGTGTGCTGATCTCAGCCTCTGATTAGGGAGAGGATGGATGGTGATTTCATTGAGGGGTTTGATCTACGGCCTGAATTAAGTGCCAGCACAAGTTTTAACGAGGAGCCAGGAGGTGCCATTAATATTATTTAGTGCCCAGCACTGGGCTGGGGGAATGAAGCCATTAACCACCCCTCGGGTAACTCGTCCTTGGCAGGCAGTGGGATGAGTTGTCCCCCCATCTAGGACATCGTTGAAGGTCCTGAGATGGTGCCACAGCATCCCTGGGGATGTCTGCTCCAGCTGGGAGCTTCCTGGGGCTTTTATTTGGGCAGATTTGAGGGTTTTTTTTTGCAAAATGCAGCCTGGGCTATGCAGGGAAAGGAGCTCTTGAGGCTGGTGAGGGAGAAAATCATAATTAGCTGTGGAAGCCCAGGGAAAACATTCCTTAGGTGGCTCCAGGGTGATGAGCCCTTCTGAAGTGTAAGCTGCTGTTCCTGGGAGGATGTGCTGTGCTTTGGCTTGGGATGAAGCACTCCAGGAGGAGCTCAGTTGTCCCTCTTGTCCCCAGGTGCCATCCTGCTTTTGGGGCTGTCCAGGTGATGGATTTTTTTTGGGGAGGAAACCATCCATCCTCTTCTTAATCCTATGTGATGAGGCCCAGGCAGGGATGAGGCTGGGTAGCCATGGGTTTTTTTCCATTCCTGAAAGCCCCCAAATCCTTCTCTGCCTGCTCCTGGCTAATGGTGAACCTGGCAGCTGGGAAGGTGGGATTTAAGGGATGCAGCATGTGAAGGACCTGGCAGTGAGAGCTGACAGCTCACTCGTGTTTGCTTCATCCCTCCCGGGAGCAGGCGAGGCTGTGAGTGCATCCAAACCCCCTGGATGGGTGAGGAACAACCCCAAAATCCCATTTGGCAGCTTATTTCGGGAAGCACCGGGGTGAGTCTCTCCTGGTGCTGGTTGATGGCAACTCCATTTGCCTCATCAATATTAAATGAAGTTTCCTGGTTTTTCTATTAACCTAATTCTGAAAAGAGGTGGGAATAGAGATGCTGAGCCTTGTTGCTGCCTCCCTCTGAGGATTGCATGGGCTGGAGGATGGGATGGGATGGGAGGGGATGGATAATGCCCCTGCTGTCCCCTTGGATGGGGTCGCAGAGCCACGACTCTGCAGGCAGGGACTCTCTGGATACCCCACCCTGGGGTAGGATGAGTGATCCCCCTGCCTGTCCCTCTTGTCCCCTTGGATGGGAACATGGATAGGGCCACATCCCTGCAGGCAGGGATGCTCTGGATGTCCTGTGTGGTGGGATGGATGGGATGGATAATTCCCCTGCCTGTCCCTGTTATCCCCTTGGATGGGGATGTGGAGGGGGTCATGTCCCTGCAGGCCGCAGGGATGCTCTGGATCCCTGTGGGGTGGGTTGGACCCCAGAGCTGCCTGGCACCCCTGGGTGACTCACACTGCCCTGCACTGTGAGTCAGTTTTGTTTTCCAGAGATGAAGGATCTGCAAGAAGCACCATTTTCTACGTAGGCTTGTTCCCACGGGATGATGAGCAGGATCCATCTCCTACGCTGCCCCCAAATACCCAATTTTTGGCCTCAGAATTGCCGGGCCAGACCTGAATTCAGCTGGAAAGCTCAGAGCAACCTGGCTGAGCTGCTTTCTGGTTTTAAGGCCATTGCAAACAGAATATCTGAGTTTCCCAGAGAAAGCAGAGCACAGAAACAGCCCCAGGGCTGGATCTTCCTGCTGCTCTGCTGCTGAAGGCAAGGAGCGAAGCCAAAGGCAGTGGGAATCTTAAAAAACACTTTCTTCATCTGCTCGTGGCTTTTCTTGGGAGGCAACAACCCCAAAAGAGTTAAATCCATTTAAAAATGCAGGATTTGTTATGAACAGACAGTTTTTATTGTATTTCCCTTTTGTTTCCTCCCAGTGCAACAACTGGGATGGGGAAACCACCCAGCTCCGTGCCAGCTCTGCTTGGGGAATTTGCTTTCCATGGGCAAGTTGGAGCCAACACAAAGCCCTGGCGCGCTCGAAAGCTTGTTCTTTGTCAAAAATAAAAGGCCTTGAAAAACTCTCACTTGTGCCATGGATGCTGGTCCCACACCCTTTTGATGGGGGATGAGGAGAGCCATGGTATTCCCTAGGGAGTTGGGACTCCCATGTGGAGTTGGCACATTCAGAGCCAGTTTCTCCCTCCTGGAACACCTTTTTCGGAGCTGGATCCCCAGCAGGTTATTCCCTGCAGCCACAACGCATCTGATCTCGCTAAGTCAGAGTTAACGGAGGGGTTGAGAGACATTTTAATTACAGCTTTGGCTTTCCCGCGTGATTTATCCCGGGCAACGCAGCCAATTTATCCATCAGCACTTACCAGGGATCTGAGGCAGAAAGGAGGCGTGGGGGGTGTTTGTGGCAGTGGCTCAGGAGTCGTTTAAGAGAGATTGGAAATGAAACGGGGATGTTGCTTAAAAAACCCCTGCCTGGCATGAAGGACTTGTCTCCAGCCAGGAAAATTAATGAGCGATACCTTTTCCGAACTCCAGTTCCCCTCTTTTGCCAAGCGGGGTTCGTTTCTCTTTGGGATGTGCTGGTGGGAATGAGGGAATTGGGGTGATGTTCCAGTGTCATTTTGTGATCAGGTGGCATTGCAATTTCCTTTTACCATGGCAAACCCCCTGGCAATGCTTTTCCGAGCAGGATCCGAGCCGGCACCGCAGGAAGAGAGGCAAAGAGAGGCTGATGCTGTTTAATGATCCTTAGAGAAGCGTGTGATGTCTCAGGTGAGATGTTGCTTAAACAGTGCCTGAGAAGTATTAAATCCCCCTATTAATACAGTATTTAACACTCCAGTGGAAAAGCACCCTGGTAAATAAACAGAGGAGACAGAGGGAAAAAGTGCTGACAGGGCAGTTGTTTTCTGTGCCCGATGGAGAAATGGTTTCTCTCATCCCAGCTGGTGAAGTTGTGTGTGGTTGGAAGGGACCTTCAAGCTCATTCAGTTCCACTCCCTTGCCATGAGCAGGGACACCTTCCACTATCCCACATTGCTCCAAACCCCATCCAACCTGCCCTTGGATGCTTACAGTGATGGGGCAGCCACAGCTTCTCTGGCCAGCCTGTGCCAGGGCCCCTCCACCCTCACAGCCAAGGATTTTTTCCCAGTGTGGATGTAATCCTGCCCTCTGGCAGGGGGAAGCCATTCCCCCTTGTCCAAAGTCCCTCTCCAGGGACCGACGAGGGAATGTCCTTCATTCCCAGGGGAAGCCTGCAGCGGGAGGACTTTGCAGCTGGGAAGGACTGTTCCTCCAGAGCTATTAAATCCCGATTACAGTGATGGATGCGGCATCGCTGCGGCGCGAGCTGGGAGGTGGTGGATGGATGGGGGGTTTTTTGCTGCCTATCGATCTCTTTTGCACCCGAAGGAGAATAAAAGCTGCTTCTCACCCAATAGCTTCAGGATATTAAAGCCAGTGAATCTCCCGTCCCTTTTTCATCCCAGGTGCCTGAATGTATTTCCCACCGTACCACTCCCGGTGCAAACCCTTGGCAGGAGCTATTGCAGGGGGTGAGAAACCCACCTTTGAGCAGAGAAACCTTGGGCTGCATCAGCGTGAGACACAGGGCTGGGGCTGTATGGGGTGAGCTGCATTGCTCCCTTTGGGACAGGAGCAAAGGTATGTGGGATGCAGGGACCCCTCCGTGTAGCCCTGGTTCTCCATAGAGATTGGTTTGCAGGAGGTTCAAATCCTGGACCTTCAGTGCTGTGTCCTGCTGTCGGGATGGGTAATGGGGCAGCAGGGACGTCACCTCCCATCCTCCTGGATAACCTCAGCTACCGTGGGCACGTGAACATCACCTCCCATCCTCCTGGATAACCTCGGCTGCTGTGGGCACATGAACATCACCTCCCATCCTCCTGGATAACCTCAGCTGCCGTGGGCACATGAACATCACCTCCCATCCTCCTGGATAACCTCGGCTGCTGTGGGCACATGAACATCACCTCCCATCCTCCTGGATACCCTCAGCTCCAGGAACTCCCCCGAGCAAGCTCAGTTTGCCTGGCAAAACACTCCAACCCAGCAGAGGGATGAGCTGGGTTTGGAGACAACCCACTCTTGCTGAATTAATAAAGAGGCCTTGAGCTGCCAGAGAGGTTTTTCTTGTCGTATCATTTATTCATCATTCATAAAAATATCAGGGGCAAGGCTGGGACATGGAGATCATGCCAGAAGAGGTTGGCATGTGTGTTTGTGTGTGTGTGGCATTATTCATGCTGCAGGGGCACGACAACCAGTGCCTGATGCATGGGCCCACAAGGGGATCCCACTAGGAATTTGGCTGCACCCCTATATCTGGGTGGGAGCTTTGCTCATACATCTCATAGCTGTGATGTCCCCTGCAAGTGAACAGGGCAGGTTCCCCAGTTCCAAACCCACCCCAAAGGTCCTATCAGCCCGGGAGGAAGATGCTGCAGCCAATAAACCCCGTGTTTCCCCGGGCACTCATGTAAAGCACCATTAGAAACACACCAGGAACACAAACGTTAAGGCTAAAATATCCCTCCCAGCTCGTTCATCCACGCTGTTGAGGAGTGGGTGTGCTCAGGGCATCCCCCCATGGCAAGGGGACCCCCCTTGCTGGGCCCTGCCCCCACAGCAAACTGCTCTGAGTGACCCCCAACCCTCCACCCAGCTCGGAGGTGTAGAGCCATTAGTCATCCTACTGTACACACGAGCAGCTGTGCCAATTAGCATAATTAACACACGAGGGCCAATTAATCTCTTGATTATGCCTGCCATTCACTTATCAGCTGCTATTATGGGAAGATCGCCTTTTGTACCTCTGCTTTCTATGCAAATGAGCCGGTTATGATGCCTTCATTACTCCAAACACAATTACCCGGCGCAGATTCCTGTGAAATCGGGCACGGACAGATTGCAGATGCCACGGGCCACAGCCCAGGTGGGTTTTGCTGTTCTCCTCTCAGTTTCTAAACGTGCCACCTCCAGGGGTGCTTCACCACGTGGATTCTGGGGAATTGCTGATGCTGATCATGTGGGGGAGACTGGGGGAGAAATGTTTGTGGGAGCCTTGCTGGGCCTTGGCCACGTTGGTCAAAATTGGCATCATCTCACAGAGTGAGAAGGATACAGAGGTGCAAGGGACCTGTGGCCATTTGGCCACTGAGGTGGTGGTGGCTGATGCCACCCCAAACAGGCAAGACGTGGGACAAACTGCTCAGGGGCAATTCCCAAGTGCAGGTCAAGGAAAATCATCCCCTGTGCCCTGAGAGGGAGGGATGGTCCCAGCTGGATCCCATTGTCCTGCTCCTTGCTGGGAGGGGTCCTGCTGGCAGCCCCCAGGTGTGCCCTGTCTGGGCTGGGCTGGGCTGCTGGGAGTGCTGGTATAAAAGGGTCCTGGGCAGCACCTCCTCCATGAGCTGGTCTTTCTGGAGTCAGGATGGGGCCTGCAGGCAGCCTGGGTGTTGTTCTGTTCTGCTGGGTGCTGGCTGAAGCAGCATCCTACAGCCCCTGGGGGTTCCCTCAGAGGGACTC